CATTTCTATAGAATGTGGCCAGTTATTTGAATTATAATCTAGTATACCGTCTGATACCTAACATAACAATACTAAATTCACGGACTGAATATTTTCGCATGCAAAACAACTAATAAATTTGTGATCTTAAAATACACAAAGAAACCCTAACCAAAGAAATGAAAGTTTTTCGCCTTTACCAGTTGACATATATGTGCAACGAAATTTAGTAAATAAGGTCAATCATACCGTATAAGGCGTACTGTCTGGATCCACGGAAAAGAATCCAACCCTTTCAAACTGATACCGATCATAGACTTTCCAATTCAAAATAATATAATTATGAGGAATTTGTCAACAAAATTTGAATAATTAATTTTTGATAACATATTTAGGTAACACTGCGAAAAAAAACAAATAGACGTAATCAGCTGTTAACTTACATTATTACTACGTTATATTACCAGTACTTATGCTATTTATTATATATAACATTAATTACTTCATTGTATAAACAATAGTATATGAATTATTCAATGATCTAATTAATTGCTTTGATATCAAATAATATACTGTTATTGGTTCTTTGTTTTTCCAATAAATATAATATTTAGCTAATAAAAATGAAATGAAATAACAGTTTGCCATTATCATATTTAATTATATCAAAAAAGTTAGGAATATAGTGAAACTTTGAAACTGATTTATAATTTACAAACAAGCAGATTGTTTCCATGTAATAATTGATTTTAATTATTCTTTAATTAATAGCATTGTGTCTAGCCTCACAAATACTAGCCAAGTAAAAACAAAATTATCATTTCGTCCTTATCATGTTTGCAACTTTGGTTTGCCAATATTGAACTGAAGTTGAATTTAATTAAAGACATATCACTTACAAAATAAGACAGTCCTTCAAAAAATCGTTTAATTATGGTCCAACTAACTGAACTTTCAAAAGAACTAACGACATTAAGCAAACCTAGCATATTGCAAATTTTTACTTTCCACTTCTTATTAGGAAGATAAAAATTGATTGTTTGTTAAAGATTTTGATTAGAAGTTTATAAAATTTATATTTGTCAAATTTTAGTAGTGCATCTGGTGAACGAAAGGAAGATTCTGATATGTCCAGTGATGATGGCTTATGCGATATCAAGCATCATCAACAACAACAACAACAACAGCAACAACAACAACAACAACGACAACGTCAACAGTGTTCACAGATGCTTCTGAATCCGTCAATGTCAATGTCATCAGCTGTTCAGGAAACGAGTAATCTTGCTACAACATACAATAATCAATTAGCAGTAGCAACTGCACCAGGATTTAATTTTGCTTATAATACAAACCAATCCATGCAATATATTCCGAGTGCTGATATGCTGTATATGACAAGTTATCAGTCATTGTGATCGTTCCTAAGCATCCAAACAATTTAACTTATCAATAATTTTCAATCAATCACATCTGAATCAAAATTATCTTAGACAATTTTGTGATAGATATTTCGGCTTGTTTAATCAAATTGTAAAAAATGATTTCGTTAATAATTTACCATGAAAATTATCATTTAATAAGAGGTTTTTCAACAGCATGTTTATAGTTAAATTTCATTCCAAATTATCAAATATTATAGATAGTTTAATTTATATCCTAAGTTGAGTAACATTATCGGATCGCAATATTGATTGGTTTTTGTTCAAACTAACTGATAATTGTCATTAATTGCAATTTGCGCATTTCTTGTAAATGCATTTTGAATTATTTAGTTTACATAAGCATGTAAGATATTGCAACAATTTTGGAGGATTTAAATAATTCATATTTTCAATGTGTTTTTAGAATTTTGCAAATTCTTTCTGTTGAAAACATGACAAAAAAAAGAAGAAGAAAAGATTGGGTAATAGCACTGGATGGGAATCCTGAAATATTCATGAATTAATCGAGAAGATATAATTTTCATCGAAATAATATTTCAAAATTTCATACATAGATCAATTAACAATGAACAAAATAAAATAATTCTTTGATTTTTTAGTTTGAGAAAAAAATACAAATAGGAACTGTTTCAAGTCTATAATATCATAAATCCAAACGTAAATTATCATATATAAAATTTAATTATTGAACCATTTGTGCAGATTTTCACAAAACTTAATCCTTGCAAAAATTTGGTGTTTCTTTTTCTTTGCATTGAATTTTACTAAATTTAATATAGCTGTTGAATTTCATTTTTTCTTTCAATATGTAAATGGTATGTCAACAAATATTAAAAAAATTACTGATTAATCGATCAATTGACCAATCAATCAATCATTCATTAATAAATTATTAGGAGAAGTAGCAAATCAATATGAAATGAAATATAAATTAGAAAAAAAATGAATAAAATTTATTTGACAAAATTTGACAAATTCCAACATTCAGTAAACTTGATGACAGTGATTCTAATTATAAAATTTCAAGAATTTCGAAATTTACTTCAACAATTTCACGCATGTAACGTTTGCTTCTTTTGTTTGTTCCTTGAAATGAAAAAATTTTGAATATTGAGCAAAAATCACAAAAATATGAATAAAAAATATATCAAAACTATTAAAAGATGAATGGAAATTGTCGAAGGCGCTGTATTGCAGAGATCTTGATGACATGCACATAATTGTACTTGATCGGAACTTTCGAATAAATACCTGAAAGAATGAATTGATCGATCGAACAAGAAAAAAACTCTAACAATATGATTATTTAATAATGAATATTCTTGAAAATTTTATCGAAAATATTTGGAAAAAGTAAACAATTTAAAATATTACTATTAAAAAAATTAATCGATAATGATAATTCGCGAATACTTGACCTATTAATTAATTAACCAATTAGTTAAACTATCAGCTAACATATATGAATTTTAATAATTATTAAAGAAATGGAATTATACAAATAGGAATAATTGAAATTCAAAAATGATGATAATAAATTATTTAACCTTTCAGTAGATATGAATAAATCACGTAGCCTAACAAGAGTGCATGCATTTGTTGCACCAAGTGCACTCAATGTTTGATTATAGTGTATTATATCGGACATACAACCACGTAAATAACCTTCACGTCGACGTCCTGAAATTAAATTTTATTGTTAAATTTAAAAAAGAAAAAAAACATATTATAGTTTAAGTTATACTTTAAGTTGTCGTAGTTTACAAATTTTTATTTTTACATAACTTATTGGGTTACGTTTATTACAATTTGATTTTAATCGAATCATTCAAGCATTTTTTTTTCAAGGATTGAAAAAAAAATTTGATAAGAATATTTAAAATTTTATCATTTTCTATGCTATATTGTAATTTCAAATAGGTCATTAATGGTCGAATTATCTTATTCGTGAACTAATTGTTAAACTTATTACTGATAACATATATCAGTGTAAATATTCTCGAATGCATTAGGTTAATTGAAAATTTATTGCAGCATATTAGCTTAATAAATAAGTAAATAAATAAATAAATAAAAAAATAAATGAATATAAATATATATACGTATGTATATATATATATCATTTGATTTGAATTGTTAAGTGTTCCAGTTACCATTAATATTGATCGGGTGAAATATTTTCATGACTTTTATCCGGAAAATTTATTTAAACAATCAATATATGGTAACTAACATTAAATCGATAATCCTAGCAATTCTAATAATCAATAAATATGTTGATAATTAATTGCTCCCGGTAATTCACATTATAAAAATTGTATTTAATCAATGATTTGTTGCCAAATATTTCTTTGATAATTTTAATTTTTTTTATCTTTTTAAAATGAACTTTTTTTTTGCTTCTTATACTTAAACATTCAAAAATTTGTCCATTTTGGAATATTTCGATTTTATTTAACCATCAGCTATGATTGAATGCTCCATTCCGATTTCTCTTCCGTTATTGGAAAATCTTTCTAACATAGTCTTTCCATTTTATTTAATCCTATTGGGAATTCCATATACACATATCCAAACTATGCTCAATTCATCATTTAAGGATGTTTTTTTTTTCTTTCTGAATTATCGAATTAATCATTGGTTTATGAAATTTTAAAGGTTTTCGTAAATTAATAGTTTAATTAACATCTAGTTAATAGATTGATTTTTTTTCTACATTTAAAGCACATTAATAAATTTGCAAGGATTGGTCGCTTTTTTTTTTGAAATTATTCTTGAAGTGATTGAATTTATTTTATTTTGTTTTTTCCTTTTACCTCCAAGACGATCGTTTATTTTCAATATCACACATAAGTCGGAACAATTTTTCCAATTCAGGAAGCGACCATCAAAACTGAAAATTATAAAATTAAAATTATAATCTTTTGAAAAAACAGGAAAACAAAATTTTATCAATGAAAAAAAAATTGTTCTCATCCCAATTTTACGATTACAAATATTTGACAACCATTTTGAAATTTATATCGTACGAAATAAATCATGTATATGATAACTGATTTCCCTTATCAGGAATTGAATTATTGCCCGGTGTAATTTCCAATATCACCCGGTTATTTTCCATTTCTTTGCTTTTTCTCTTTATTTTTGTATATTTTGATAAAATAATATAATAGTATTACGAGTAAAAAAAACAGTATTTGGAAAAAAAGATGGCAACAAGCAATGAAAAATAAAATTAAAATCAAATTTTAACTTATAGAATAATTTGCCTATTATAACTTTTGCAGTGAAATATACAACAGCAATACGAGTGCATTTTTTTAAAATGATACAATATTAAAAATTTTGTAATAATAAATTGAAATTGTAAAGTCAATATTCAAATTTTCAATTCGTTCACTTTTAAAATTCATACAAGAAGAGGATATTTTGCATATTTTCTATCAAATAAATGTTCTTCCTATAACATTTTTATCTTTATGGCATATTTCTATTTACCAAAAAAAAGACCAAAAACTATCCAACGGTTATAATCATTTAAACGTCAAATTGTTTAACAAGACAATGATTGTTAAATTTTTAAGCAAATATTAAAATTTTTAAATCGTTCAGTTTCATCAATGATTAGATTTGATTTTTGATCTGATCCAATATTTATTAATGGTTGGATTTGGTTTTTGATCAGGTACTGATTTTTGATCAGTCAAGTACTGATTTTGGATCAGTCAAATTAGAAGTTAAATCAAAAATTAAATCGAATCATTGATAAGATTGATTGGTTGAGTTAAACCATTTACATGACAAATTTTAGCAAGAAAATTAATAAAAGAGAAAGAAGTAAATAATTTCTATTGGTGAAATGATTCAAAAATATTTAATCTTTAAGTTTTAAAATTGAAAAGTTCCTTCTTTATCATTTTTAAAATTTTAAACATTTTATGTTTAATTTTTAATTGTAAACTTTTTTTTGCAAATTTTTGAAACCCAACATATTTGTAAAAAAAGTTTTGGCCTAGTCAAATAATAATGGTAAATTTTAGCAAGTTTCATATTTCTTGCAGTTTTTTCCGGTGCAGTTCTAACTGGTTAAAGTTGTATGTGTGTGAATGCGACAAATTAGGCCTTTTTTTTTTTTGGTATTAGCTTGGCATCCCTACTATATCTGCAAGACTATTGCATAAATGGAAAATAGAAGCTGTTGTAATACAATTTGAAATAACTTAATAATGAAAATATCGATATTATGTCTAAAAGAGTCATTGGTCGAGAACGCTCGAGAATGAGGCCGCTATAACGAATTGTCCAAATTGATGGAGGAATTTTTTAAATTGAATTGAATCGAAATTGAATCAAATGTTGTAATGTGAAAATGTGCTCAGAAATTCACACGACAAATATTATTTCTTTCCTTTTTGGCATTAATATTTTCTAAAAAAAAGGAAAAGGAAAAAAAAGCTTCAAAGTATTTATATATAATTTATTGGATAATAAAATTTTTAGTATTCGAAGGAAAATGTGATCCATTACTATTAAAATTTAACTTATCAAATAATAAATGATAAATGATTCCTTTGAACAAATTTTAAATAAATCAAAAAGCTAGTTATTGTTTCAAAATTCAAATGAATAGCTTATTCCATTCAGCATATTAATATTTCTACATAAACTATTTCTTTATGTAAGCCAAAAAAACAGTAAACAAATTCAATTTTTACAAATTGGTTGTTCCTTTTTTTTGCATTTTATCAGAGTAATTAAAGTTGAAAAAAAAAATTTTTTTGATTTATGTTTAAACTCGGTTTGATTGTTGTAGTCTTTCTATTCTAATTTCGATTTGATCAGAGATCAAGTCCAACCATTGATAAGGTTGATTAATTGAGTCAAATTATTTACAAATAAATTTTAACGAAAGTGTCTAAAATTTTTCAATATTTTCATATGGAATAATATGAATTTTATCGAATTCTTTATAGTAATATTATTAGTTATCATTAAATTTATCAGATTTAAAATTTTTTTCCAGAAAAAATTGTACTTTTTCCAAAATAATATACTTAAAAAATGAAGTCTGAAATTTTGCAAAGAAAAAAATTACAAATTTTTTTGTTTTTGCAAACATTCATCATAGCTTTTCTTTGCTGTCAACTATTTATCTTTCAAATGATCTTTTTTTGCCCATTTTATTGTTATGATGAGAAAAAAAAAAGAAAAAAACTCAATTATTCTTTTTATCGATAAACGTTTGAATTTTAACAAAGTAAACAAATTTGCATGTCAAAATTTTGCGATTTAAAAAAAAAATGTTATGCAAATTTAGTTTGCATCTTAAAATTTACGAAATTTTTAAAATTGAAACTTTTCCATTTTCTCTTTTTTCATGTATTTTCAATAAATTTGCACTGATGCATGCAATTTGTAAGTCATCTTTTCAAGTCTATTTAAAGGAAAGAAAAACAATAAATTGAGAAATTTTTGAGGGAAAAATTTTGATTAAAATCTTCTTTTTTGTCCTTTTCCATTAATAACTCAAAGATTACATTTCGATTTCTTTCATTTCAATGCAAAAGTAAAAGTCGAAAAAAGACAATTTGCAAAATCAAAATTTAATTTAATTCTTTTGCACGATTTAAAGTCTATTAATGTTGAAAATTTGATGCTAAAATAGATTTTGTTTTGAGAATGCATCGCTTACTTTGCTAATTAATTGTAACATTTCTTGAATTAATTAGTAAATCAGTGCTTAATTTTGATGGCAATCTGTTAAGGTGAATTATTGTAATTGGGATGCAATGTTTATCAATGAGCAATTTTAAATTACTAGAATTGGATGAAGCCAAGCTAAGATTGAAGACTTTCCTAGACAAATGTCATCTTTGTCCTAAAAATCATAATATTAGAGAACCTTGTCATGATTATGATAAGTTATTGTTAATTATTTATTTACTCTTTTATTTAATTAACAGCACAAAAATTATCGATATCCACTTTTTTCTTTGACTTCTCTTTTCCTCTTCAAATTTTAACAAATAACTTTGTTGTATTGTTTAAATTAGGCTGATTATAACGTATAATAAGGAATTAGCACATCTCTTAACAAGCCATAGCAAGCCTCTATCCAGAAAATGAAACAATGAAAGAGCCTTATTTGGAGATAAATTATAAATTTAGGACAAACCACCGTCTTATTTGAAATATTATAAACTTTTTAAGAAGGCATGGCTATTATAATATGTTTAGCATCTGAGCATGTAAACAAAATGAGCAGACTGGTCTTGTGGACCGAAAAAATTTTAAATAGAATCTATTAAAGTAACTGAGATATTACTAAATATTACTGATATAGCCTAATTTTTTATTAGGCTCGCTGTCCCTTCCCTGTTCCTGATACAATTTACTTTTTATTAGGCCCATTTCCTGGCTGCATAATAAATTATTGTTATTTGGCATTGGCCTAGATCCTAGTGACTTTTGCTACTACGTTTCAAGGCTTACGTAATTAAATATTGGAGAACGTAAATTAAAAAAATGATTAAAGGAAAACAAAAAAGGAAATTATGTAAATTTCCTTTGATAAGTTGGCAAAAATCCAAGAAAGAACTTTTTCATTTTTTGAATTTTAATTTTTAAAAAATTTCAACTAACAGAAAAAGCAATATAATTTTGGAATTCCAATATTGATAGATATTTTTTAAAATGATCTTGCACCACTTTTATCAATTCAATGGATGTAAAATTTATACAAACTGATTGAAATTAAAAGATCAGTTTATCCATTTACTTTACAAAATGCCTTTGTTGTAATTTAAGAAAAAAAAATTATAAGACTTTGATTTTTTTCTCATTTTCATTTAATCAAATTTGATTTCGATTTTGTTTGATCTTTGATTTACAATTATGAAATTTTGAAAGATTAGAAAAATTTTTTCACATTCATACTTATTGCGTTTATTTATTTTCGAAATGAAATAAATGGGAAGTAATTAAATGATTCAAAGTGGAGTTTTTGCATTTGACAAAGCATGAAAGTATATCATGGCGTAATTATACTGCTGGTATTTTTAGTTTAATTGTAGATTTAACAATGATAAGTAATTTTATTCGATGAAACTCAGTGATAGAGTGATTTTTTTTCATCGAAAGTAATCAAAAGAAAAGAAGATAAGCAAATTTCATTGAGCTGTCTGATAATTAGCCTTAGATTAGATTACTTCACTGCAGAACTGAAATGTATAATAATAATTAACAACTGATAACTGATTAAATACTGCGTAGTAATTTTGGTAGTTGCATCTGAATTCTGATATGAAATGAATATTGTAGCAATTTAATGCCTGATATCAGAAATCAAAACAATATTTGAAATAGCTATCAAATGAATTATGATAAGGAAATTGATAAATATTAGCTTGTCTTAAAACACTTAACAATAAATTTATTTGGTAATAGGTTGCATCTTGAATAGCATTTAATTTATCTCTGATTGGATTAAATCAAAATCTCTAATATCTAAAATTAATATTCCAGAATGATAAATGGTCAGTTCAGCTTGACCACTATATCCACTACAAAATATTAGAGTTTATTTAGAGTCTTAAATAATGTATGGAACTTTAGGAGGTTTCGCTTACTATGCTTTTGAAAGATAATCTTTGCATAAAATAAAATAACAAAAGCTTCTCACACCATCTATCTTCTTATTAGACAGTTTAATCAAATTGTTAAAATAAAGAAAAAGGAAATCCAAAATGGAAAGAATTAAAATTTTAATTTCAAAAAAAATTCGTTTTTCAATTTTTAGTTTCAAAAAAAAACATCTCACTTAAAATTTTTATCCCAAAACAAAAAGAAAAGTTTAAAAATGAGTAAAAGAAGATAATAAACAAAAACAGCACTCAAAAAAAAGTGTTCACAACAAATTATTTGTGAATAAATTTCAATTTATTCTGAATGACATCTGAAGCAATTTCACCTGTCAGGTGTTTATACTTTGCTAATTATTAGTCACGAGTGTTAAAAGCTTTCAATTACTTGTTAAAAAATAATATTTTTTGAAAAGATATGCATGCAAAGATAGAATAAATATTTATCCGATCAATTAAAAATGATCAAATATGAGGAAGA